TCACTGAAGTAGAATACGGCCAGATTGACCACTTTCCTATGGACAAGTGCTGCAGGTTTCCCAAAATAACCTCTTAGAAATTTTATTGCTATTTACTTAAGACTTACAGAGCACTGACCAATATATGAATGGTCAAATTCTGTTATTCTAAAGGCAAAATCAATACCTTTTGAGATCTAGAAGAGATGATTTCAAAATCTGAGGGTGAAACAGCCATATATAGAGAGAGGTACGTATGTGACTCTGTTTCATTGGAATGTTTAAAACTATTATTTGGGGAGAGGGGATGGGGGGAATTGGGTGGTCATTGTTTAAAAACTCTTACGAATTAATAAGAAAAAAGCAACTCTTTTTTTAAAGTACTCAAAAGGCTTAAACAAGCACTTCACAAAAGAAGGTATCCAAACAAATGGCCAAGGATATATGAGCATGTGAGAAGGCATCCAGCATTGTTCTTCATCAGGAAAATTCAAATCAGAACTCCAGAAGGTGTCAACATACCCTCAAGAGGGATCCAGAGATAATACCGAATGTTGGCGATGACAGGGAGGACCTAAGTGTTAATTCATTGTTGGTGGGAGTGTCATTAGCACGGCCATTTTGGAACACTCTGGCCCTGTGACCTAGCAATTCTACTTATAGATAAGCACCCAAGATAAAGGACATAACCATTCCACCAACACATAAGAATAATCATAACAACTACATTGACTATAGCTGAAACTTGTAAAGAACCGTTCAAATCCAAGGGACCACTAACCATAGAGTAAAAATTAGGAAACTGAAACCTGAATCCTTTACCATTAAGGATTTTATTTAATTCATAAGATTTTATTTAAATTAACTAAATTGCCAATTTTTTGAATATTTCAGTGGATTTTTCAAAAATTTTTTTTATATCATTGACATGTATACTTCTTTGATTTGTATAATGTGCACATCAGTGTTGCCATTATAGGAAAGTAAATAAAAATGTTATTTCACTGTTATTTTGCAGAGTAAATGTTTTCACAAAGAAGAGGGGGAACTTGTGATTTGAAAATATATATTCAAATCACATTTCATAAATGCTTAGGAATTCAAAAATGTTAATATTTGTAGTTTAGTTTTCCAACTGAGCTTTTAAATTCTGAAACTGGTAAGCTAATTTTAAGTAAGAAAATTATTTTTATGTTTGTAAAAATATTGATAGCACAAGTGGAACAGAAATGAGTATTGGGAATATTACAGAAGTACCACAAAAATCAATTGTGCAAAAGCCAGACTTCCTTCCTTTTATTTACTAGTCATTGTTACTTTCAGAAAACAAATTAATTTATTAATTATCAGCAGTATAACTTAGGAAAATATTTTTCAAGTTATAATAAAAATTATAAACAAACCCAATGAAAAGAACATAATACAAAGAACTTTCTATTTTTCTATTAGCCAACTCCAGTAACCATCAACTTTTCCTCATTCTTCAGACAGTTGTTAACTTTTTTCTCATCTATTTTTTATTTGTACTTATTCATGGGGTACAAGTTCAATTTTGTTACAATGATATAGCATGTTGTGGTAAAGTCAAGGCCTTTGGTACATATGTCACTAAAGCCACACATATTTCAGACAATTTTTTTAAGGTCGATGTTTTACTAACCCCACGATAAACCTAAAATCATTGTTAAATTCAGAGTCATTAAACATTTCCGAATCTTTGAAAGATTCCAGCCTCTCCACTCAGGGTAACTATCCTCAGGGAAATGACTTTTCTCCCCTCTATCTTAATTATTTAAATTTTCTTCATTTCAAAATTAAAGTCAGAACACCAACCTGAAGGGAGAGCTCCAAATGTGTTGCTCTCTGCCCCAGTGAGATGGTCAAGAACTCCTGACACAGGTACCAACACAGGTAAGTCTGAAACTTCATTGCGCTACCTACACAGTGCCATGTATGAAGGACTACACACCGTAGGATTCCATTATTTGGGATTCTCTGAAAGGCACAATCCCATTGGCTGAAAACGAGATCAGTAGCTGCCAGGAACTGGGCATGAATGGAGGAGACTGAATGAAGAGGAAAATGGTAGGACTATATTGGGTGATGGCAATGCCACATATCTTGATTGTGATGGTGTTCACAACTGTGTACAATTGTCAAAATGTATCAAGCTCTACATTTAAGAATGAAGAATTTTACTACATGTAAATTATACTCAGTGTATCCCATGAATCTGACTTAATAATAAGAATACCATAGTGAAATCTAATTTGGTAGACCAAGTACAGTGGGACTAGTCTCTTCCTTTATTGGAATAAAATACTATTAATGAAGTTAAAATTAGCATTTGATTGAGGGAAACCACTTCACATATTTGTTTTATATCAAGCCATTAAGAAATCTTATGTGTTCTGATTTTTAAAGAAAATGAAGTATTATATGCCAATTCTTTAAATATTTCATCTTATATTATTATTTATTGTTACTTTGAATATTTAAATCTACCATGTGAACTTGTCCAGATCTTTTGGAATCTGTGTATTGCTATACAAAGTATCAGATATTCCATAACGCTCTGTGGAATCCAAAATATTAACATGTTTTCTTTGTAGAAAATATTGTTATACATAAAAAAATCATTTTGAATTTTTAAAATTTGTTTTGTACTGGGTTATACAGGACATGTGATGTGTCACAAAAACTGAAATAAATTGATGAAATATCTTTGTCCTTGATAACTGACATGTGGTAAAATATTTTTGTCACTGTAGGTGAAGTTGTCTATGTTCTGATGTTATATTTAAGTTCTTTTCATTTGAAAAAAATGTCCTAAATCTTTCTTTTAAATGCCACTCAGGTTAAATTATTTTAATTAAATCATATAAATTACTGTGAGGGTTTTGTTTACTTAAGTTTTCTTTTTCTTTTATTTTTGTTTTTTGTTTTGAGACAGAGTCTTGCTCTGTCACCCTAGGTAGAGTGCCATGACAAGATCATAGCTCACTACAAACTCAAATACCTGGGCTCAATAATTCTCCTGCCTCAGCCTCCCAAGTAGCTGAGACTTAAGGTGTGCACCACCTCACCCAGCTAATTTTTTCTATTTCAGATAGAGACTGGATCCTTTGTTCAGACTGGTCTTGAACTCCTGACCTTAAATGATCTTCCTGTGTTGGCCTCCCAGAGTGCTAGGATAGGACTGCAGGCATGAGCCACCATGTGTGGCCTCCTTTAGTTTTCTTAACTTTTATATATTTAAGAGCGTTTATGTATTTTAAAGAAAAAATATGTGATGCTGGATTTTTATATGAAAATATATAATAATTTATTACATATATTTATTCCAGAAGTATTAATTTTTATGTAAGTACTCTTCTTTTTAAAACACGTATTTGATTCTTTGTTTGAATTTGTCATATTCCTATCTTTCAAATTATTCTAAGGAACACATGGACAGACACACAAAATGTCAACTGAAAGAAAGTTTCTTTCTCTACTGATTTCAGTTTTATATTTAACATTATTTTTAAACATTGTCAATAATAGAAAAAGAAGTTTCCTCTCATATATAAAAGGTACATGATTCCATGTTACTGTTCATCATTTAAAAAATATGTTCTATTCTCATATAATTAGGTTTAGATATTAAAATATGTTATGTGCAAAGATATTCTCAGAATTGACATTATACAGATACCCTTTAAAAGTTTGCTGTTTCTGTCAACCCATGAATTACAAGGATTACATGTCTTCTTATTCTTTCAAAATCGAAAAATAGTAACACATAAGAAAGAAAAGACACATTTTAAAACCAACCCTCCTCAATTTCTGGGCATTTGAGTTCAGACTTCCTTCTTCCTTATCATCCACTTACTGGGAGATCCCCAAGGGGAACATCTGTAGCTGATTTGCTCTTAGGATTGTTTTGTAGGCAGGTAAAAGAGTTGGTGAAACCAAAGTGGGACACAGAGGGGAGACGGTAACTTGCAGGCCTGCATTTAATTTAGGGCACTGGCTGATCTTACACGCACAGGTTTACTCATCTCATCTTTCATAATGTCTTCTTTATTGTACTACATATGGAAATGTCAGTGAAAACTATTAAACCAGAAAATACGTTATGAAAGTCATAAAATGTAAGTTTGCATTACATTTCAATCAAGAATTATAGCTAATCCAAAGCACTGTTCATTATCTCTCCCTCATTGGAAACACTCACTGGAAACCCTGTGGGCATCTGAAAGGTCGTTTCCAACGTCCACAGACAATGGGGCTGGGACAAGACGCCCCCTAGTGGTGGTAGGATTGTTTTCACTCTACGGTGAAAGTCGTAAAAAGGACACAGAACTTAGAGCGCGAACTCTAATAGGAAACCCGAAAAACGTTTTGCTCAATTCTTTGAAATAGGCAAGAGGTTACTGAATTTAAACAAATAACCCTCGTGAAACATCACAGACTATGTGATTTTTTTTTCAAGTTAGTCGGAAAGCACATGCTTTTAATTTCCATCCACGTTTTTTCAACCAATATTTTCTAAATGTTTTAAATTTAGTTATCACTATTTTCTTGTTCTCAAAGAGCTGATAATGTAGTTGAAAAGATGGGACAAATTAGTCAAAACATGAATGGGGGTAAGAAATGAAAAATTAACCATGTTCACCACAAAATATCAAGAGCATGGAATTGGGAATTTGAGAGCTCAAATCAACTTTTAAGAAATAAATTTAGTGGGGCACAGCGGCTCACACCTGTAATCCCAGCACCTTGGGAGGCTGAGGAGGGTGGATCCCTGAGTGAGAAGGAGACACTCATCTCTACTAAAGGAAAAAAAATGCATTTTTACATACCCATGTGAAGAATTCCCCAACACAAAAAACTAGTTTAAGAATCAGCATTAGATTATTCCTTAAAATACTTATATACCTTATTTTAAAAATCAATTTTTAAAAAAATCAACATGCCGAAATAGAGAAAAAATGAAGTTTTGCATAAGCATTTTAAACAAAAGTGGCTCATCTTACCTCTACTAGCAGTTGCTGGAGAGAGGGTGAGGCCACAGGGTGCAGACTCGAGTTACCCCTTACAGGACTGTGGAGGCCTATGTAGGCCACAGCATTTTTCTGCAGAACCTTCTTGAAATCCTGAAATCCAGAAAAGGAACTATCTTTAACATAAATAATAATAACGGATTCTTTTTTATTAGTTAAATATTGAATAAGAAACATTTCATACTTAAAATCACTACTTTGTATACATACTTTTTAAGAAGGAATCCTGTATTATTTAAGAAAGTACACAATGGTTATGAAAGGATTTTAAATAAGAGTGATGAGAAATTAGATATAATATGAAGTTTTAAAGCATATTCCTGACAAAATTTTAACAGAAAATGTTCTTAAAAAGTTAATATAGGATGAGAATCAACTACATGGTACAGGATGGAGTATTTGCTCCAGTGATTGCATTTAATTGTATAGTCACTGAATTAGAGAAAAGACAGATAAACTACTTCAGTGATTACTAAAACTATCCCTTTTCTTTGAAGCAATGAACTACCTTTTGCACAAAGTAAACCTATATTCTGAGCTAAATGGGGCATAATATAATTGTGGCTTTGCAAATATTACTCAAAATAAAACCTGATGCATTTCATACATGTAAGTAGCACAAAATGATTCTGTAGAATACTTTTTCTCTACCCTGAAAAACTGAAGCTCACTGGTGCTTTAGTAAGGTACCAAGAAGAAGTCCTTCTTCTGCGTTCCTGCAGCCCTTGCACAAATGGTTAATGAGGAACTACCCTGGTGGCATTTCTACAGAAATGTCCTAAAAATTATATCACATCATGTCTTGAGAATGTATCTTTCTTCTTCTACCACTATAAAATAAAAGACGGCTAAGACTTGGACACCTAGGAAGTCAGTAATGTTATTTATTTTTACTATAAATCGTCAATTTACAATTATAAAACCTTGTGGGGTACGATGACATGTTATAGTTTATGAATACAATGTAATGAAATCGAACTTGTTAACATATCTATTGCCACAAGTAATCAAGATTTTTTTGTGGTGAAATCATTTGAAATTTACTTTTAGCAATTTTTACATATTCAGCATTTTGTTATCAACTCTATTCACCAAGATGTGCAATAGAACTAAACACAAACACACACACACACACACACGAACACATGCTCCTGTCTAATGGAGATTTTGTACCCTTTGACTGTCATGTCATCACCCCATAGTCTCCACTCTGCAGCCTCTGGGACCACCATCCCACACTCTGCAGAGATGGACACATAGAGAAAATGCAGTACGTATGCAGAAGGCAACTCAGCCTTAAAAACAGGGACATTTGTCATTTGTGGTGGCATGGGTGGAACTGGAGAACGTTATGCTGAGTAAAGTAGTCCTGTCACAGAAAGGCAAATACTGCCTGTTCTCACTGCTGTCCTTATTTTACGTTGAATTTAGGGGGACCTCTGTTAAAGAGGTGGAAAGATAACCATTTAAAATTAATAAAAATTTTAAATTAGCATAAATGATCAATTTTAAACTTGAATAATTTCTCCATAGTATTGCTTAAAAATGTTATTTAAATTTTATGAAAAAAGCTTCTATTTGGGGCAGTGCCTGTGTCTCAAAGGAGGAGGGTGCTAGCCCCATATACCAGAGGTGGTGGGTTCAAACCCAGCCACAGCCAAAAACGACAAAAAAAAAAAAAAGCTTCTATTTGCACAATACCACAAAGAAAATGTATATATATTAGTCCATGTAATTTTCAGGGGACCCTGACAAGTGAGGCACTAATGCACGTATTTGAGATCAAGTCTCAGAGAAATTAATCTTGCCAAAGACTACATATTTTCTGGCAGAAAGGATTTGACCTCTGGCTTTTTTGACTCTAAAATCTGCAGTATTTCCACAACAGCATGTGGCGAATGATGATACTTGGCAGAAGAAATGGTATTTTTTAAAGTAAAGAACTTATTTAATAAAATGTAACAATTGTCTTTAAGGATCAAGATAACTATTGAACCAATTCTGTAATAATTCTTTCATTATAAATCTAATTTTTAAGTATGTTGACCAACATCACCTAATCCTCTTAACTGTAACTGTGGGTTTCTAGAGGTTTCTATGTAAGCAAATTTAAATAGGGCAACATGACATGTCAGCAAAGGCTTTCCTTGTTCACTGTCAGGAGGGAATCTATTTAGACCACAAATTGGTTTCAGTCTAAAGGAACACATTTCATTCTTAGAAGCAGTCGGCTTGACGAGAGTAGAAAGTAGAGGGCAACTAACAGTTTTCTAACTTTCTCTTCAACCAGATGGTTCCAAAATGTTTCAAGAACTACATTGAAATTATTTTCTGAGGTACAGTAAATTACAAAATTATATTCGATAAACCAATAATCAAGTACATATTACACATCATTTTCATTTTTCTTCTGTCTTTTGCCAATCCAGTTACATGAAAAGCTTGAAAGTGATTGAATGTATAATCAATTTGTATGCATCTGTATATAAATATTTAAAGATATAAATACCTAATTTTCTGGAATAGGAATAATTTTTTTTTTTTTGCAGTTTTTGGCTGGGCCCAGGTTTGAACCCACCACCTCCAGTATATGGGGCTGGCGCCCCACTCCCTGAGCCACAGGTGCTACCTAGGAATAACTTTTTTTAACAAACTTTTTTTCTTGGGAGCCTTCATGTTGCAGTAATTATATTTTTGGTGTCTGCTGATTGAGAAAATATTAAAATCACCAAAAAGTACAATTAATTCACTAAAGCTTAAAAACAAGTTTGTATTTTAACCACAAAAATGTCTACATAATTAGAAAATAAAATAGCTCACATACGTGCAAAGCCACATTAATTAACTTACAGGCTTTTTTTTTTGAGACAGGGACTCATTAAGCCACCCTCGGGTAGAGAGCTATGGCGTCACAGCTCACAGCAAACTCAAACTCCTGGGCTTAAGGGATTCTCTTTCCTCAGCCTCCCCAGTGGCTGGGATTACAGGTGCCCGCAACACCCAGCTATTTTTTGGTTGTAATTGTCATTGTTTAGCTGGCCCAGGCCAGGCTCACACCGCTAGCCTTGGTGTATGTGGCTGGCACCCTACTCACTGAGCTACCGGCGCCAAGCCTAACTTACAGGCTTTGACGCTCCATGCTTAGATAAGTTCAAGGCCTTGATGCAATAAAATTTCTTATGCATTGAGATTTCAGATATTTAAGTTAGGAACAACTAAAGTTTGACAAGGGTACTTTAGAATATAGTTCAGAAACGTACACATTAATTAAGGATTAGCATAAATGGTGAAAGTTATGATATAGGTATCCAGAAGACTGTGATATTTGTTTATGATATATGTTTGGAATTTGAAAAGAATCTTTAAGACATATCTTAATATGCATTTTATTTTATTTTATTTTTTGACACAGAATGTCACTATGTTGCCCTTGGTAAAGTGCTGTGGCGTCACAGTAACCTCCAACTCTTGGGCTTAAGGGATTTTCTTGCCTCAGCCTCCCAAGTAGCTGGAACTATAGATGCCCGCCACAATGCCTGGCTATTTTTTTGTTGCAGTTGTTTAGGTGGCCTGGGCTGGGTTTGAACCCGCCACCCTCCACATATGTGGCTGATGCCATAACCACTGTGCTATGGGCACCAAGCCATAATATGGGTTTATTTCATTACAAGAAACATTGTTTCATGTTTCTGAATTAGTAATAGCAAGTCCAGGCATATCCCCTAAAGAATGTTTGAACTTGCTAACCAATCTTTAAGCAGTTTGGATAGGGAAGGATTAGTTCAACAATAATATTTCCACCTTACTTACAAATCTGTCAATTTAAAAAGGTTCCTTAAGCAACAGAATTTTTTCACTGGATGTAGTTCCTTTGAATATGGATCAAATATTCCCACCACTAATTTGCATGTGGAAAATCTTTCCAATGTGCAATGTGTGAATCTCAGTGAATTTTACACTGAAAAATCTTCTCATCTTTAAGACTTTTCTTTCCTTCAAATTAAAGAGACACTTACTATTTTCTTTTCTGTATCTTTTTGATATTTTCACTGATATTCAATAGACATCTTTTTCCAAGTGCTTAAATAAAAAATGTAATAAAAGAATTTTCCATTAGATAGAATGTCTTTCTTCAAAGGTAAAGTAGTAAAAAAAAGAAAGAAAGAAGGAAAAAACACTAGAATATTAACTAATTTTACTTTCCTAGTAAAACTGTGTAGGTTTTTTTGTCTGCATGTTGATGTTCCACCCCTGTTTTTCATCTGAATATTTTACATTTAATTATGTTGGGTGCACACAGGTGTTTGAAACAGGCATATCAAAGGAACTGGGGTATCCATCATCTCTTCTTTAAAAAAAAGGAAATAGATTATCTAAAAGTTTTACAATGTTTCATTGTTCACAGAGCACCAATCCAATTATCAGTTCTTACATCCTATTAAAAACACAGTGCATTTGTGAGAAAGAAACCTGTCAGAAGCATTTGGGCTTCTTTTTGTTTTCTGAGACAGAGTCTCACTCTGTTACCCTGGGTGAAGTGCTGTGGCATCATAGCTTGCAGCAAACCCAAACTTTTGGGCTCAAGTGATCCTTTTGCCTCAGTCTCCTTAGTAGTATGACTACAGGTTTCTGCCACAATACTTGGCTAGGTTTTTTCTATTTTTAATACAGACAGGGTCTCACTCTTGCTCAGGCAGGTCTCCAGCTCAGGTGATACACACACCCTGACCCCCCAGGGTGCTGGGATTGCAGGTGTGGTCCATGGGAAGCATTTGAAAGGTCAATGTTGAGCTTGGATTCTAGCTGTGCCTCACCACAAGCTAGATTCCGTTTGGCCACAGTGTCCCTAAGGTAGTCAGTCTGAGAGGTCAGTGGGCAGGACAGGAGACAGGAGAGTCAGAGAGGTGGAGGGAGGCAAGAAGGAAAGGAATTTCTTTCTTTCTTTCTTTCTTTTTTTTTTTTTTGCAGTTTTTGGCTGGGGCTGGGTTTGAACCCACCACCTCTGGCCCCACTCCTTTAAGCCACAGACACTGCCCAGAAAGTAATTTCTATTTTAAATCCATTCTCCATATTATGTAGATAAAACATAATGCTAAGGTAATAAACATTTAATGGAGGATACTGTTTGCTGATTCCAGATAATTCTTAGAATTTTTAATAAAGGTAATTGTACGTGTCACTTGGTCCCTTCTTACCTAGTACCTGACAATCTGTCTTCTAGGAGAGGATTATAATAACCAGGTGAACTCCATGGTGGGCAAACTGGATCAGGGTTTGCGGGTGTGTAGACCAGGGATGACGGGCTTAGATCACACTCGGCTCACTACGACCTAACTCCAATTCCTTCCCCTTCACTCTTACAGGACATCTCACCAAGTTAGCAGATGGGATTCCTTGGTCGAGAGGCCCATTACTGTCCTCAGCTCCAACAATTTTACCTTCTCCACGTTAGTGAAACAAGAAAAGAAGAGCATTGTAATTGATGTACATTATATTTTACCTCTCCCCATTCATATGAGCCAATATTGCCAAAAGCCGTTCCTCCCCACGAGCAGAAAACAATAGTGCGGTCTGGTCTCCACCCTCTCTCAACTCTGAAGGTCAAGGCCCGGATGAAAGCCAGCATCACCGCAGTGGAGCTGGCCCAGGCTGGTGCGTTAAAACTGTGTGCAGTGTGATGGTGGCTGCCAACTATGACGTACCGGTCTGGAAACGGGAAGGAACAAGGACCATTAGAACAAAACATAAACCTTCACAATAAATTTAATGACATTTACATAATGCTATTGCACAACAGAGCAACAATTAAGCAAAATTGTTCTAATAATTAAGACCACTTTAACATTTTTCACCCACTGTCTTGATTCACACATCTGTGTATATCAAAGTGGAAGCAGCTGCTGAAATTAATTATGAATCCAAAGCTTAGATCCATGTTACTGTCCTTTACAACATGAATATTAATTAATGAAGTATACAAAATGCCACAGTGAAACTCTTATCTAGCGTTTTCCCCGCATGGCATTGGGAAGGCCCCGTGAACACAGAGCATATGCTCAGGAATGTTAATGGACTGTTAGCGCGTGTGGGAAAGCAATTACTCAATAGCTGCAAATACTAAAAAATAGAATAGTCATGTATGGATTTTGCAACAAATTGTTTAGGAAAATAGTTATAGCTTCCAACTCATAGTTTTAGTCCCTCTCGTTTCTTTAAAGAAAAGAAATAAAATTTACCAATGTCAAAATTCATTTGTCTCGGTGCCTGTAGCACAGTGGTTATGGTGCCAGCCACATACACCAAGGGTGGCAGGTTCAAACCCAGCCCAGGCCAGCTAAACAACAACGACAACTACAACAAAAAATAACTGGGCGTTGTGACGGGTGCCTGTAGTACCAGCTACATGGGAGGCTGAGGCAAGAGAATAGCTTAAGCCCAAGACTTTGAGGTTGCTGTGAGCTGTGACACCAAAGCACTCTACTGAGGGTGACACAGTGAGACTCCATCTCAAAAAAAAAAAAAAAATTCATTCAACTACTGTGAAAGTTGCCTTTTCACAGATTGTCTTTTATATCAACATCCAGTATTTGTTAGATACACTATTAGAAAGTCTCCATGACTCATGGATGTGGCCTGTTCAATGTACATTATTAACTTGTCAGTAAAAAGGCAGGTTGAAAATGAACCTCCAGTTTCCTCTGACTTTGTTGTCATTGAATGCTATTGGTAAATAATAATAGAGCTGAATTTATTTGACCACATATCACTAGCATCATACATATGTCTGGGTAAAGGACTGAACCCACAACTCAGACTTTGCCTTACAAATGCAAACAATATAACCTAATTCTGTGTATACTTATCTTAATCTGAAAAGTTTTAGAAATATTGCATTCTGAGCTGTCCTGTGACTGGATGGTGAAGTGTGCAAATTCTGGAGCCCACCCGCTTGGGTTTGACTCTAGACTTTGCAGCTCACCAGACTTGTGGCCTTGGAAAGCTTATTTAACCCATGACTCAGCTTCTCCAGCTGTAACCGGGGAAATACAAACAGCACATTCACCCCTCACTCGTTTTGCGTTTATGTGAGTTACTGTTTGTTAGGCGACTTGAACAGAGCCTGACACAAAGCAGGTTTTCTCATGTTTGGAATAAATAAACCCCACCTTGCCTTCTTCATATCAGGAAATTAATACCTTACAGGTATTGTCATGGTGTGAAGAAATTTTAGTTTTCCACACTGACTCTAGAACCAGGAATGGATTTGATCTGCCAACATTTTATCAAGATTTAATTGGTGATATTCATAATGGGTTTCAAATGTTGAAAGCCTGTGTTACTCCTGAGAAATACCTGAAAGTTCTGTGTGGCATTATCCTCATTCTAAATAAATCACATCTTAAAAACTTAATACAATGGATGATTGTTTCTAATTTTCAAAGTCCTTAAATAAGAAAACAACATGAAAAACAAAAATTTTGTGTAGAATTCAAATTAGTAAAATTTGAGAAGATTTTCATAATCTATACACTAAGAATACTAATGATAAAATTGAGTATTTTTTAAATGCCAGGTTTTTGGGGTAGACTGAAGTTTTTTTATCCTAGTATAATTTGTGCAACTGGGTTTTCTAATAATAACTTACAAGTGTAGCAATTATAGATCCTTGTGATGAAAATTTGTTAAAATGCAATAGTAACAATTTCCAATTTTTTCATATATTTTATTTAAAGACACTATCATAAAATGTTACTCAACATTGCTACTGTAAGGAAATCAGAAAAAACAGAAGTATCTTTCATAAATATTGTGAGAGCTGGCCAGCGAGAGATGGGGGGACTATACAATTTTGATCTCAGAATTCTGAGTTAGCAATTAGGCCAATTTTACTAAAGTGACAGAGAAGCATAATTCTCCAAAGAAAATTTGAATAAATGTCCCCAACAAATCAACAGAAATAGCACAAGTGTAAAGAAAAATTGTTTCCCCCTACTCTGCATAGGACAGTCACATCAGACAGTGGCACGGTTCAGTGTTACAGTGTTATCACTAGTAATAACCCTGACACTGATACCTAATTACACTAGTTATTAGTAATACAGCTCATCAGTTGTTCCCACATTCTTTAGCCTACATGATACCATCTGAAGGCCAACCTGTAACAAGTTGTAAAATTATTAAACATCTAACCAGGTGATCACCTTCAAAACCTAAAGTGGTTCAAACACTTGGCAGAAGTGACCGAGGACCACAGGTCGGGAGTAGGACAGAGATTGACAGTGAAAAATTATATTTAGAGATAAAAAAAAATTACTTTTTAGAAACAAATCATTAAAAACAATCTTCTCTCTAAAAAATGTCTTAATAAAAACCACCATTTCAACGATAGTGTAGTGATTAAAAGAGAAAAGAGAATGGGCTTTTGAAGCACACGCCAGTTTGACAAATCTAAAATCTGTTTCAATTTCCTAAAACACACACTCTCTACTAAGATTTCCTTTTGAAGAAATATGGTTGGAAAGAGAATAAAGGCCTAAATCTTAGTTTTATATTTCCCCACTCTGTGTGTGGGACACATTTCCAATTGCATCTAAAGTAGGATATTTAACTCTGATATTATATTATTACACAGCATTTTTTTGTAAAGTTTTGCATAACGTTATAAATATTTAACCCTACTCACCTGGGGATGCAAAGCCCCTTAAATATCCAACAACATTAGTGACTGGTTTGAATTTTGTGACAGTTTGAACTTGCAAGCTGACAACTCTTTTTTCTGAAAAATAAAAATTTAGAGATGTTTACTTCATATTCTGTTGTATTTCTTAAAACATTAAAATTTATTTATCCAATATCATTGACAAAAAGAAAAAAGAGATCCACACAGTTGAATCTTTCCAGATAACCAGCGTCATACTTGTGGGGCAAATATCTATTCAACACTTTGTGCAAACTCCATTTCAGGTGCTTGTTGTGCAATGATGACTCGGATACAATTGCCAGCTGCGCAGAACCACCGAGTCATAAACCGGCAGTTCCAAACCTCGCCTTCAAGGCTGCACTGGGAGTTCAGCTGAGAGCACAGTCTCCTGAGAGACCTCCAGGAGATATAAGCAACTCGTATCATTAAAAAGGGGAAATAATAGATAAAAATAATTTGAAATAATAGAGAATACTTTCCTATCTTCCGAAACAGAACACATGGGAGACAATAATCTTTCCTGTGAGTCAGTATCATACTTACACTTTAAAAACTAAATCAGCCAGATTCAGTGGCTTACACCTATCATCTTACTGCTTACGGAAGCTGAGGCAGGAGTATAACTTCAGTCCAGGAGTTTGAGACCAGCCTAGACAAATCTGAGATCTCATGTAGACAAAAAAATAACAAAAAATAAAATAAAATTAGCTGAGCACAACGGCACGTGCCTGTGGTCCCAGCTACTCGGGAGGCCAAGTCAGGATAGCTCAAGGCACTTGAGCTTAGGAGTTTGAGGTTGCTGGGAGCTATGATGACATCACTGCACTCTAACCTAGACACCAGAGGGTGACCCAGTCTCAGAAAATAAAGAAACGATACTAACTGTGAATAAAGCATTTCACAAATTAAAAGGATAAAGATTCTTTGAGCTAAATATATTTTCGTATGTTGGAGTCCTTATTTCCACTTCTGGGGTCTCCCACTTCTATTCTAAATCCCCAGTAATTGCTCTGCCTCTTAGCATTCTCCTATTTATGTGTGAGCGTCAAAATAATTTGCAAATAAGGAAAAGCTGGCAATCAGGAGAGACTCCAGTCACATCACTGACGTGGTCTCTGAAGGCCTTAGGTGGTGACGTGTGTTAATCTGTACTGGATGGGTGCTAGGCAGTATCTGCGCCTTTGTGGGGTGTCCCAGGATCCATCAGGTTTTCTGTATAGCAGAGATTTAAAGAACAGCCAGCTGGCAGTGTCAGGGCAGAGGGTGTCAGCGTCAAACCAGCCGCACTGTCCCGACAGGCCCTCAGATGTCACTTCTTACTGCTAGATGAAATTATAATGATAAATACATTGCTTCTTTCCGTCAGTGTGTCTTTTCTAAAAATTAAATTTAAATGGAAAATCAGTAGGCTGAATCTGTTAAAACTATAACTAGAGCAAACGTAGGGGCCTTGATAGAACGTCTGAGAGCTTCAGCTGTGAGGCGAGGGAGTCTGCTGAGAGCCAGGAATTGGGCTTTCACTCAGGTGCGCTGCATTTTGTTAGTCTGTTCTTCAACCAATACCCTGTTTATGAGGCAGTATGAGACGTGCAGAAAAACTGGCATGAAGTGGAGAGTTCCCAAATACTGGCTCTCCCCAGCCTTCTAGTCTCC